AGCGGGGTGGCTGGGACCAGCTGCTGCTGCTGGCGAAGAAGCGTTTTTAACAACCCCCCCCCACGTCCTCCCCCGCGCTTTGAGCACAGGGACACCAGCTCTGTCTCTCCGCCCTGCCCGCGTCTCCAGCTCTCGCCGGCGCTTACTGCATCTGAGTCTGCCCGCTCCCCCTCCACCCTTCCGCACAGGTCTGCCTTGCCCCTGTCCATTCTCCTCGCGGCACCATTGACTGGGGAATTTCCCTGCCCCTGTGCATAATGCCAGGAGCAGAGGTCCTTGGTCCTGCAGCAGTGCCTGGATACGAATCCTCGCAATTGAGAGCAAGTTTGACCGTGAGCCCCTACTCTTCCTTAATAGGTGTATGTGTGCAGATGTTTGCTTGCTAGGTAGTAATTACCTAGCACTTACCGCTGCCTTTACCTCACTTCCTCTCAAAACAGGTTTAAGGAAGGGTGGGTAGGAATGGTGTCCCTAACTCTGTCAGAGGCTGGGAATGGGTGACAAGGAAGGACTACCTCAGGGTTACCTGTTCTGTTCATTCCCTCTGGGGCACGGCTCCTGGCATTGGCCACTGTCAGAAGACAGGACACTGGGTTAGATAGACCTTTGGTGTGACCCAGTATGGCTTGTTCTTATATTCTTAATTAGAAATGCATTTGTTTGGGTAGGATTGGGAGGGAGTCATCCAAAGCCTCTCTACAGGATTTGAATAATTATTCAAAATTAGTGGTAACTCAGTATCCAGATCTCCAAGGGACCTGGCATTGGCCACTGTCAGAAGACAGGACACTGGGTTAGATAGACCTTTGGTGTGACCCAGTATGGCTTGTTCTTATATTCTTAATTAGAAATGCATTTGTTTGGGTAGGATTGGGAGGGAGTCATCCAAAGCCTCTCTACAGGATTTGAATAATTATTCAAAATTAGTGGTAACTCAGTATCCAGATCTCCAAGGGAGCTTTGAAAATCTCAGCAGAGCTGTCTTGCACAACAATGAAAAATCCTCCCCTAGTGCAAATAAAACTATTTAGAAGGTAGGTGTGGGAGCACAGGATAAGACAGCATAGCATGTGAAGTGTTTGAAAATAAATGTTTCCTTACATTTGAACATTTCTGAAGGTCTACTCTCCCAGCTACTTCATGATTCAATGTGTGTGTTTGTTGACCTTTCCAAATGCAGGTCTGAGTGGTATAAATTTCTTTAATCCATTTTAGAATGGAGTGGGGGAGAACTGATGCACTACATACCTTTCAGCTCTATGTATCATGCAATTAGGAAACAATTGCAGTATGCAATAGGGATGTAATAGTGTAGTCGATTAACCGATTAGCAAAAGCTTCTAGGTTAATGCTGTAGACACCATGCATTTCTTTCCCCCCCCCATTTTTTAGCAGGCTGGCTAGCAGCTCAGCTTCGTTCTGGATCACACCAGGTTTGAGATTTAGCCCCAATGTGGCTCTGCATTTAAAGTGTATTAGGAGCTAGGCAACCAGGCAGCCCATCTCAGTTCCGATTCTCGTTGGGTCTGGAAGCTCAGACCCCCTTCCCCCCCACCTCACAGACAGGGGCTGCTTCTACCTGGAGCTGCTACCTCTTTATCAGAGGCAGTAGCACAGGGCAACAAGCAGCTGGTCTACAAGAGGAGCTGATTTTTAAACTGGCTTCCTAGCAGACTAGCTCTTGCCTGGCCCCCAGGGACTATAGAATAGTCGACTAACCGATAAGAATTCATGAGGTTACTTGAGTATTCATTTAACATATTTAACATCCCTAACAAACAATAAGAGCTGCTGTAACTACACATCTTGTACATCTTTCTAGCAGTCAGAGAGCAAGCCTCAGAGCCAGCTTTTTTGGGTTCCTTTGACAGTTCTGCCATCAAGTCATGTGGCATTGAGTAAATGGCTCAATGCTGTGTATACTGTCCCCATCTGCAAAATACTAGTCACCGAGATGTGTGCTGTGTGGCTTCATAACTATTAACTACTTCAAAATGGACAGGCAAAATATTCTCACTCTATGCAGGACATTTGCTATTTCATAATACAGAGACACTGCAATGTTACCAAAAATACTTCTGTGATAAATCCTGATTATTATTCTGCTCTAGATTATATCCAGTAAAAAAAAATCAGATCTAGTTTTAACACCAAAAACTAAGCATTTTTGCTACCTCATGAGTAGGTACCAATTTAAATCTGGATTAAATCTGACCATAGCTGCAAAATCTTTGGAGCCTCCGATTATCCCCTTCCAATAAAGCAGAAGGTGCAATGAGTTGTAAACACAATGGGTGTGTCTACACTGGGCCACTTATTCCGGAGAATCAGCCGCTTTTCCGGAATAAGCCGCGAGCTGTCTACACTGGCCCTTGAATTTCCGGAAAAGCAACGATGCTGTACTGTACAAAATCAGCCGCTATTCCGGAAACCGTACGATGCTCCCGCTCGGGCATAAGTCCTTTTTCCGGAAAAGCTTTTCCGGAAAAGGGCCAGTGTAGACAGCTTTTCCGGAAAAGCAGAAGAAACGTAAAAAAGCGGTTTGGACGGCAGGAGACCCCGTAGAAGCCACGGACTTCCGCATTACCCGAGGGCTTAAAGAGCACGCACACTACTGGCCGCACGTGGCAGGAGGCCCCCAGAGACCTCCCTTCCCAGCTCTGCGACGTGGCAAGTGTGCTGCCCAGCCACCTGAGCGGAGGCATGGCAGCTCGAGGTGGTCAGCCACCGTCACCCGGGGCAGAGGAGGAAGCCCCCAGGGGCCGGAAGCGCAGGGCCCCATCCTGGACCCCCAGGGAGCTGGAGGCCCTCCTGGACCTGTGGGAGGAGGAGGAGGGTCTCCATGACCTCCAGTCCCGCCGCCGGAATGCTGAGCTGTACACCCGGATGGCCCGGAACCTCGCCCAGCAAGGGCACCCCAGCCGCAACTGCGAGCAGGTCCGCTCGAAGGTTAAGGAGTTGCGGCTGGGGTACGTGCGGGCCACGGAGGGGAGGGGAGCAGGGCCTGATGCCTGCCCCTATTTTGAGCGGCTGAACTCATTTTTGGGCGAGCCAGCCCCGCAAGGCCCAGCTGTCCCCGTTGACACCTGCCAGCACCCCCCGATCATTCGTCCCACCGAACCGGAGGAGGAAGA